TTAGCGTTTATTTTTAATGGATTAGAAACATTTTTATTTTTGCACCAGTGACAGTGTAATGTTTCAAATGCCACTTATTTAGACTTTGCTTTGTTTGGCTGTTGAGAAAGGTTAGTGGTTAGTGCTCAGCACTACCGTGTAAGACTCCCTTTCTTGATGGTGGTAGGAGTGAGGAGTGCTACAGAAGCAGATCTTCATGGAGGACCCTCTAACTTTAGGGAAAGTGCTCCTTTTGTGCCAGACGCAAGCAGGCAGTGATACAGGATTTGAAAATGCAAGAGAATGGGGTGGGGGTGGGGAGTTTGGTTTCCTGCAAGGGTGGGAAAATGTGTTGCGTGGATTTATTTGATTAGGGAGAAGAATAAGACCTTGTGATCTGTTTTGGAAGGGGCAGGAGTAAAGCCTGAGATATCAGAAATTGGACTATTTTGCTGACTGGCGGCACTGAACTGCTTCCAAAATTCAGTTACCTAGAGACACCAGAACTACAATACCAAATGCAGAGGGAGTCTTTCTTTAAAGAGACTGTTGCACAGCATCCAGATGGAATTTGGAAGTCATTTTACTGACAGATGATAATGGATTTCATTTCAAGCTTTGCCAGGAATCCTTATACCATTGGCTATAGAGAGGAAAAAGCATTCTCCTCACACATGCATGCACGTAGGAGACAGCAGACTACGAAAGCATCTTTTCCAAAATTAAATGCAGGGCCTTGTTAAGTTTTTTCCCCCAGTAAAACAAAGTTGGTGAAGACTCTTAAATGTAAACTTATTTATATGTATAAAGGAAGTTTGATCTGTTCTGCATGTTATGCTTGTGATAAACAACAGAGGCTGCGTACATTTGTAACTCAGCTTAGCGGGAAATATTTGAGTGAAAAAATGACTGGCCAGGCAGACACTAAATGCCAGAGCTGGAAGGAGAAGGGAATATCTACAACTTGCTTTGATTTTGGCCACGGTTTTAGACAGACAGGCTTAAATAGGTTAGTTCTATTCATTTGTGCATATAGCGGCCCAGCATCAGAAGGCAGGCCTTGCCATGCAGCGGATGGAGTTGACTGAATTGTATTGTCTTTACAATTTAGCTCTTCCCTTTCTCTCTAACCATCCCTGCATCTACCAACCCTTATCTTATTAGAAAGGCCTGCTACAATCTGAGGAGGAGAGATTATTTTATTGGTTCATTAGCACTCAGTCTAATTAAGAAATTACTGACCTTCGGCGCTAGAAAAAACTATAAGCATGGTACCATGCCACATTCAGAAGGGGAGTGCATTAATATATTTCAGCTTAGCTTAACCTTTGTCCCTTTCAGGGCATGTGCACTTATAATTTACTCTTAGAAATAAGCTTTCTAGGTCCTAAAGCCAAGACAGATATTTGGTCTGCATTTATGAGGCCAATGCAGTCCATGTGGGAAGCTTTATGCAAATTATATAAATGAATTTGGAGACTGAGAAATAAATTATAAGGAATCATTTGGTGGCCAGAGCAGCAACTGTAGGCAAAGATCTACATCCAGCTTGGTATGTGAGAGTTCAGGGAGGCTGTGGAAACACATGCCATAGCCTCCAAATCTGTGTAACTTGTGAGACCGTTGTGTCCTGGGGGGTTGCAGACTTCAAGCACAAGCTGTTCCCAGCCCAGATGCTGCAGGGCTATGAAACTGGAAAGGAAAGCCAAACAAGTTGTATGTTCTTCCCCTTTTTGCTTTTTGAGGGAAAAAGGACTCAACCGTGTTCTCTTACCAAAAAAAAAAAGTGTACATTATTTCTTTTTAATACCTTTCTCCTTCTTTTAGAAATATAAGGAATTTGAAGGACTGTTTTCCTTAGCAGTGCTGAACGCCATATTAGCTGTTCTAGACAACCTTCTGGAAAGTTTTCTAAAACGGAAACAGCTTTCTGAAGCTATAATTCAGGAAGCCTCCCCGTTTAAGAAGCATTTAAATCTTATGAAAGTAATATAAAGCAATTAAGTGTGTTCTTAAGGACTCGGGCAAAGAGGACTCTTTGCTCATTTCTCAACTCAAGGTGAGAAGTTTGGTGGTTCTTACTGAAAAGATCATTTTTTCCAAATATTTGTCAAGCATTTAAAATAAGCACTTAAAAGAAAAACAAGCATGATTAAAATTAATTCCCCTCTCAGTCAATCAGGGTTTAATTATTTAAGATCCAAAACCTTTACTAGTTCTTTAGTCAACCCTAGTCTTTCAGGAAATCAAGTAGAGAACACATGACTTTTACAACTACTAATGCCTTTCCACTCTCCCCACACTTTACTGGTGAACAAGTGAGTGCAAACGTTCATTAAGTCACCCTAAAATAAAAGGCAACCGATGTTTCTTCTTCCTGAAGGAGGTAAAGAGTATACATAATTTTTAAATATTCCTTCTATATTGTTATTAAAAGTGTGGGCACAGGAACATGTTATTTATGTCTTAACCATGCATGCTTTCTTACTCTGCTGTGTAAATTCAGAATAAAAATGGTCTTTAAACGTTCTCCCAGGGAAAAGCAAGCTACCTTCTATTTACACAGAGTGTTATTCAGAATTGCAAGTGCATTGTAAATTCACAGCTTTGGTTACTGCACTCTCATTTGTTCATGTATTCATACACACTATATTTTCTAGTAAGCCAGAAAATAAAAGGCTGACTTGATGATTTTTAGGTTGCTACTCTCCCTGAAAATCTCACTATAAATACGCTTGTCATATACACAGAGTCATCACAGATTTGCCTGTTAACTTTTGCACTAATGGCAGACCAAATTTTGCTACATGGAAATGTCAGGCTTAACATGTGCACATCCTTTTTCTTATGTGGAAGGTACCCCAAATTGTGTATTGTCTCTCTGGAGCCTTAATTTGCCTATTCTTCTCATCTGTGGTTTATCAGTATAGTTGAATTGCATTCAGTTTTGTTAATACAAGTTTAACAATTGCAGCAACTTCATCTTTTAGTTCTCGGAGGAAGCTGGAGGTTTTCAGATGGCGCAGAATGTGTTTTATAGTCCAGACCATTTGTAGGAAACAAAGGCTGTAGTTTCTCAATATTTTTGTTTTGTCTCCTTTGTCTGTTGGAGGATTTAACCAAGAGCGTTTCAGTGATCTGGTTTACAGCTTGGCCTATGTGCATCCATGGCAGCACAACCAAATGGACAGGGACAAGCAGCCAAAGAGGACACATCTATAGCTGCCTTTGCTACTGCAGAACCTATTTTAAGTCTATACACTACACCCCTTTGTATTAGAAAATAAATAGAGTTTCTTTCTCTCCTTTGTTCAGGACAGTGGTAGAAGTCATTTTAAATGAAGTGGCATAAGCTCCCAGTGATCCGCTGTCCTACTTCTGCTTGACTCACTATTCACTACAGCATCCAACAATAAACAGCAAGTTATCTAGATGTGTTTACCAATATGGCAAGCTGCAAAAGAATTTCCTTCAAATAACTGTTATTCGTCCAAGCAAACACACAATAAATATAAACAGGCCAGTTCATGGTTCTCACAGCTACTGTCTGTGTTTTCGGAGTTGTCTATCGGCTGACATTAGTCCTGCTGGTTTTAAACTTTGCTAATGATCCTGAGCATACAGATCCAGGTCTGGGCATAATTAAGCAGTTGTCATCTCCCACGGACATCACGGTCGTGCATATTTCCAGCCATACCATCATCATCTGGGTGTACAACCCTCTCCTGTTACTCTTCCTAAAGCTTACATCCAGCCCTGAAAACTGAGCCATGAAAAATCAGAAGGGTGGCTCATAATAAGGTTATTTGGCACCGTTATCTGTGCATTCTGCCCCATACCTCTGTCCTGTTCTGCTGCATCGACCAGTGATCCTGCCCTGTTCCTCCTTCCCATACTCTCTCAGTGCTCCTCAGCAGGCACAGGCAGCATATCCAAGACTTTAATGAAGAATAAGGGTATGGTGGGAATGTCACACTGCCTGCTTCTGTGAACAATTGAAGTCTGATTTTTTTTTCTGGACAACAAAAGAAAACCTCAAAAAGAGAAAAATGGACCCCAGCCAAGAAACAGGGTGGGGGAAAATGTTTATGGATGTTGGCAAATCTACTGTGCAGCTTTCCCATGTTATAAACTACATCACTGTCTGCAAACCCGGGAAAGATACCCGTCTGCAAACTAAGATGATATGAGAGTTGCCTGTTACATCCCCTGTGAACCTAAATTCCTACTTCTCCACTAAAAACCGTGTCATTAAATGTGTTTTGTTCAGCTAGGTCAGTATCATCCTAGAACGAAAATTCTGACTAAAGCAATAATGTACCGCACAGCGGGGCTTTAAGGCTCTGACAAAATTAAAATAAAGATTTGGAGGCTCTGAGCAACCCTGGTCGGCACGAGGGGGTGGGGGGGAAGGGCAGCCATGTGGTTTGGGATATTTTCACCAAATGTTAAATCACACAGAATATTTCACTCGTCTCCAGTGTGAGATCACGACATGACTCCTCTGTAATGAATTCTTTATCTTGGCAGCTCTCCTGCTTTCTCCCAACTGTGCCTCCCCTCTCCCCTCCCGGTCCCGGGGCCGTAACATATGGTAGTATTTGGGAGAGCCATGTTGGGCCCGGGCCCTGCCTGCCCACACCTGCGCGCTCCCCCACCGCGCCGCTCCGCAGGCGGCCGCGCTCAGGGCCCGATGGTGTTGCTCAGGCCTCGGTATTTCCTTCGGTGGCCGTCCCCTCTCCGTGCAGCCCCGGCGAGGCTTCTCCTCCGGCCAGCCGTGCGGCTCCGGAGGATAGGCCGGGGGGAGATGGCCGCCGTCGGGCCCAGGAATTTGGCCCGGCCGGGGCATGCACACCGGGGGCGGCCACAGGCCTCACCCGGCGGAGGCGCCCGCGGGCGGGAGGCAACGGGTACGACACTGAACCGCCCCGTCGGTTGGCGGGGCGAGGGCGCGGCCGGAAGGCATCGCCCGGCGGGAGTCGGTCGCCACGGCGACGCGTGGGGCCGGGGCCCTGCCAACCCCGCACCGCCATGGGCCCCAAGCGGCCCAAAACCGACGGGGGCGCCTCGCCGGGGGCCGCGGGCAAGAGCTGGGAGGCCGAGCTGGTGTCCGCCCACCTCGAGGAGGTGAAGGCGGGCGGAGGGGCAGGGCGGGGGCCGCCCGGGGCGGGCGGGCCTCGGGACTTGAAGGTCGGGGATGTTGAGGGGGGGACCAGGCCTGGGGCGGCCCTCGCCGCTCCTCCAGCCCGGGTGTGGCGGTGTGGCCGCCGGGGGCTGCGCGGGGTCCCCGGGGGGAGAGCGGCGGAGCTGCCCCTCCGTTGCCCCCCGGCCCCGAGCGGCGGCCCGAGGGGGTTCCTGGCTTTTCCTCCCCCGCGCTTTTCCTCCTGGGGCGCTGGGTGCCAGGTTTGGGCTCGGAGCGAGCTTTTTATAAACTGCTGAACAACGAGGTTTGATGGAGGTGCTGACACAGCATTAACTCTAGCGTTGAAAATGCGAGGCTGTAATTTTCCTGCTTGAGTGTGCGGCTAAAAGGCACTTTTCTTCTTTTTCTTTTTCTGTTTTTTTTTTTTTTTTTTTTTTTTTTTTTTTTTTTTTTTTTTTTTTTTTTTCACCGTGT